GGGGATCCGAACCCGCCACCTTAGGTGTACGTGGCTGGCGCCTTAGCCGGTTGAGCTATAGGCGCCGAGCCCAAAATTTTTATACAAATAATAGGCTGGGCACTGTGGGACAGTCACTTGAGCTCAGTTGTTTGAGACCAGCCTGAGCAAGAGCAAGATTCATCTCTATTAAAAATAGAAAAACCTGGGCAGTGCCTGTGGCTCAGTGAGTAGGGTGCTGGCCCCACATACCAAGAGTGGCGGGTTCAAACCCGGCCCCGGCCAAACTGCAACAAAATATAGCTGGGCGTTCTGGTGGGTGCCTGTAGTCCCAGCTATTCCGGAGGCTGAGGCAAGAGAATTGCCTAAGCCCAAGAGCTGGAGGTTGCTGTGAGCTGTGACACCACAGTACTCTACCAAGGGCAACAAAGTGAGACTCTGTCTCAAAAAAAAGAGGCTCCGCACCTGTGGCTCAAGCAGTCAAGGCACCAGCCACATACACCTGAGCTGGCAGGTTCAAATCCAGCCTGGGCCCACCAAACGACAACGGCTGCAACCAAAAAAATAGCCAGGCGTTGTCCCAGCTACATGGGAGGCAGAGGCAAGAGAACTGCTTGCGCCCAGGAGTTGGAGTTTGCTATGAGCTGTGATGCCACAGTGATAGCTTGAGGCTCTGTCTCAAAAAAAAAAACAAAAAACAGAAAACCTCAACCAGTCTCAGTGGCACCAGCCTGTAGTTCTAGTCTACTTCAGAGGTGGAGGCAGGAGGACTACACAAGCCCAGGAGTTTAAGATTGCAGTGAGCTATGCCCACTTCACTCTAGCTGGACAGAGCCAGACTCCTATCTCTGGGGAAAAAAAAAAAAAAAAAAAAAAGAGCCAGATTCATAGCCACACTCAACTTTGTATGTCTTTATACTAAACACTAGCCTGAACTTCACTGCTTTTTCTCCAAATATTTAAACGTTGGCTCATGCTACTCAGTTGATTATATACTTAAAAGTCTTTCTTATTAATAAAGGCACAAGTTCTCTTTTCTTTGTTAGCAAGCACCTATCAAACTTTAGGCAAGATTTGTAATCAAGAACCAGGGCATCCTGATAAAAAGTACCAAGTAAGGGGCTGGGTATACTGGCTCACACCTGTAATACTAGCACTCCAGGAAGCCAAGGTGGGTGGATAGCTTAAGTTCACAAGCTAGAGACCAGCCCAAGCAAAAGGAGACCCTATCTCTACCAAAAATAGAAAAACTGAGGCAAGAAGACCTTTTGAGCTCAAGAGTTGAAGGTTGTTGTGAGCTATGATGCTATGGCATTCTACCAGGGCGACAGCTTGAGACTCTGTCTCAAAAAAAAAAAAGATGCCAAGTAAAATGTCAAGAAAGGATCAAAGCAGGTGAAAACTAAATAATTTTCCTTCTTTGCCTTTTTTTTTTTTTTTTTTTTT